GTTTTGGTTTTGGTTTTGGTGGTAGTAGTAGTAGTAGTAGTAGTAGTGGTAGTAGTAGTAGTAGTAGTAGTAGTAGCAGCAGGAGTAGTAGTAGTAGTAGTAGTAGTTGTTGTTGTGGTTGTTGTGGTTGCTGTGGTTGTTGTGGTTGTTGTGGTTGTGGTTGTGGTTGTGGTTGTGGTGGTTGTTGTTGTTGTTGTTCTGTTGCTCTTGTTTTCTCCTGGCGGTTCCAAGGCGGGAAAAGCTTCGGCCCCGGTGGCAGTCGTGACCCTGCTCTGCTTGCGCAGCTTGTGTTGGCTCTGCCTTTTCCCTGGCTCCCTCACCTGCTCCAGCGATGCCACTCACCGGCGAAGCGAACACTGCGCATCAACGCAAGTACATGCGCAAGGTCCGCAAGGGCTTTGTCATGAAGAAAAGCTGTCGGTGCGGAAGGCAGGGATGCGTGCGATAGTTGATATTTGTCTTTGATAAACTGCTGTAGCCCTCGATCGGTGTGAGTTGGGAATGGTTTTTCGGCGGTCAGGGCAGAGTGAAGACCTACGAGAAGAAGTGGTGGAAGAACTCCAAAGTCACCGCTGTCGTGACAAGATGGCATTGGGTAACAAGACTTTGCAGGTTTGGTTTGTCCTTAGTTGCTTCGCTCTCTTGGCCTCAGATGGGCAGGCTGCCGAAGCTCAAGATGAAGCAGCGCAACATAGCTGCCATCGGCGATCTCGAGCTCAACTTCCGTCCCGGTGGCACGGATCTCAATATTTTGAAGCTTGGCTCAAAAACCATACGCCCTGTAAATCTCTACTTAATCAAGCCATACTGAAACCATAGACCCCACAGTCAAGACTACATGCTGTAAAACTGGACTCTCTTTACCTTGGCTCGAAACCCTGTCAACCTCTGCACTTGAGCGCGCGTTTGTGTTGCATGTTTGCTTGTATCCAAGGAAGGAGATCCTGGGGCGGAAGGTCTATGGCCAGACCGTGAAGGCGGCGCCGCGTAACTCGTATCTTGGACTTCAACGCTATAACTTTCGGGCGTCAGGTCACGCCCAAAGCGTGCGTGGTGCATTGTGCGTTCAATCAAGGCGTTGGCTGGACCTCGGTGGCCACTTGGCGACTTTGCCGTCTATGCGAAGCTGATGGATGCGGCCGAGGCGCGTAGGGGGTTAAATTAAGTGTGTGTCTGGAAGGGGCACAGTTTCCAGCTAATGTTGTCAGGTTATTTCCTTCGAGCCGGACCTCAGCAGCCGTTCGTGTTTTCGGCGGAATGCAACTCGGGCTATGTTACTTGCAGTCTTGCTTTTGTGTGCTTTAATGTGCTTGTGTTAGGGTTCCTGCGTGCCACGTCTTTGAGCCTGTTCTCCAAGGTAGTGGGTTTGCAAGGAATTAAGGTGCGACCCGAAGCTGTTGCTTTCTCAGCGAAGTCTGAGAGCAAGCTGTTTTTGCATGGGCGGTCCGACGCACGCCATTGCTTGAAGGCTGTGCGGGGTCGCAAGGTCGAGCGTGTGAAGACCATATGCTTTGACAAGGCTTTAGGAGAGTTTCGAAGCAGAAGGAGTCGACAGCCGAGAAGACTCCAGAGCCTGTTTGGATGAAAGATGAGGACTATGAAAAAGAGGACGAGGATGATGAAATGGAGGAGGTGGCGACCGAAGCTCCAGTGCCAAAGGAGCCTTCCTCTGGGCACAAGACAAAGCCCAAGGACGAGCCGAAGCAGCCGAAGGGGCCAAAGGGGCCAGAGGAGACAACCAAGAAGGTCTACAAGAGGATTGGATGGTTCACTCTGAACAAGAAAGCCAAGCTGGAGATCCTGGCCAGGATCCACTTGAAGCCGGAGACCGTCGACGGCTACGGCAAGGGTGGCACAGCGGCTGAGCCGACGAGAGGAGACTATTTGCCCCCGAAGCCCAAGGCGATGCCTGCCTTGAAGCCCGCCGAGCCGTCGCACCCTCCTCCAGAATACAAGAGGCTGGGGACTTGAGCTTTAAAAAAATAAGTCTTTTTCGTCTCTTTCTTTGCCATTTGCTGCCCTGACATCAAGATGGCTATCGAGGGCGCAGAGCTCGAGATACTCCATTATAAGGCACACATCCCGAAGCGGATCAAGCTAGTGCCTAGTTTTCGAGCATTCGTACTCGGTAGATCCGCGCATGAGCCGCTTTAAAGCGCTCATGCGGCGGTTGCGGGGTCTCTTTCATGAGGTCAAGTACCCGACCCTGTGATCTGCAAACGGGACAGGAGACCCGGTTCAGCAGTAGAGTCAGTAGAGACATCATTGTCCACTGCTGGGGCCGGAAGTGAGATGGCTTTGGGACTCTAGTCCACTGTTCGGGTTGCAGCACGGTTGAACTATATGCTTTTAGTACTGTGCGCCGATCTCACTTCCAATCGATCCCTTTTTTGCTTCCGCGGTTTAGGGGTTTAGGGATGTTTAGAGCTTAGGGTTTAGGGATGTCTAGGGTTTGGTGTTCTTGTGGTTTAATTAGGTTGTAGGATTTCGGGTCTCCTCTTCTTTTCTTAATCTTTTTCGAAATCCTTAAATCAGAATGTACTCCTAAATGGGAGTCGAATTGCTCAGGCGCAGAAAACTGCGGTTTTGGGGTTGTTCATTCAAACTACAAGATTTCCATCCATACTGTTGATGATATAAATCCTGCATGACCTTAAGCCTTAACTTAAGGCCACTAAACTATTGGAAGTATGGTACATTCCTTATTATGGGTAAATTTAGGGTGTATATCATCAACCTTAAACCCTAAACCGGAGAACCTAAGCTCGTAAACCTCACAAGCCCCTGTGAACTCCATGATTCAAAGCCCCACAACCCTCAGTACCCCAAAACCCCTTGTGACAACTTCCCTTGGTCTGCTTGAAGAAAGAGGCTGCGAAGTTGATGAGGCTAAACCAGAGAGAGGACGCTTGGAGTTTTCCGCGGAGGTGTCCACCTGCCTTCTGGTACACCCTTTTCGTCATGCACCTTCAGGTCAGTCCAGAGATCACGACTTCTGGTTCTGATCTCACAGACGAGCAGACGCAGAAGAAATGTGCAAGCCGTTTAAACCATAAACCCTAAGCCGTGGAAGACTCTTCCTGACTGCCCACTCCGACAGACGGCTACTACTGACGCGGATGTGTGGATGGCACCTGGTGACATCTTGCACCCAGCGCTCCACCCGGCGACCTACGGCAAGGCTCCAGAGCAATGGCACTGATCGCCGGAGCAGGCCCTCCCCGCCAGCAAATTGGGGCTCGGCGCCGATGATAAGACTGGCCCCAGCGCGCGAATACAAGCCCTAAGCCCTCAACCCTATAAGCCTTAAACCCTAACCCCTAAACCCTAAACCGTAACTCTTGAGAAGATGTAGTCAAACCCTCCATATATTCCGAACCCGAAGCCCTTGAATCCCAAACCCTCAAAGAAGGCCTGAGAGGAAGCTGCTCGTTTTCTACCGCCATCCTAGGCCATAGTATCTCGCGGTGTATGCACAGACTCCCCGTGCACCCATACGTAGTAGGGCATCATTTTGATAGGATGGGAGCCCTAAACCCTAAACCCTAAAAACACACTTTCAATCAAGGGCTTAATTGCCTAACTCTGAAAACCTCTTTGGTATCCAAAAGTCGAACCCTGGACGCGGCCCTCGACCCCAACCCGCCAATCCTAAAGACGAAGTTTTTAATGCCCTAAAGCCCTAGACCCTGGCCCGAAAAAATGTAAATGCCAAAGTTCACATAGGCAACAACAGAATTCGAAAGCAAGGCAACTTGCACCCTTCTCTGTTCCTGAAACCCCAAACCCTAAAGCCTAAACCACAACACCCTAAGCCCCAAAACCCTAAACTCCTAAAGTTAAACCCCAAACTCTAAAAACACGAAGCCCCAAACTGAAAACCCCCTATCCCCTAAATCCTAAACCTTAAACCCTAAACCCTATCCTCTAAACTCTTTTTCCCGCTTAGGACCTTGGTCTGCCTGCCGCCGCCTCTGCACTGTTGGATGAGTGCGAGGCAGCCTTCTTTTTGGTTGTTGAGGGGCTTGGATTTTGGGGTTTAGGGTTTCCGGGCTTTAAGGCTTTAGGGTTTTGGGTTTAGGGCTTAGGGTTGTTTAGGGTTTCGGGTTTCAGGGTTTTGGGGCGTTAAGGTTTTAGGGCCTTGGGCTTTAAAGGCTTAGGGGCCAAGGCTTAGTTTTTGATTTCAAGGCTCAGTCAAGAGCTTCGTGCTAGTGCTTGCAGGGTTTTGGGAGCTGTATAAGTACGGGTTTAGGACTTTCGGTTTAAGAGGGGATGGTGGTGTCAGGGCTTTCGGGTTTAGGGATTCAGGGTCTGGTGGGGGACCTGTAGCGACTTACACCGGTTTTCGACTATAGGAGTTGGAGGCTTCTTTACTGCAGACTCTCGGGGCTAGGGACCCCCAGGAGATGGAGGATGAGGAGGAGGGCGGGCCTTCCTTACCGGTTGCTTACCAGCTGCTTATGCAGCTTGCTCCTACATCGCACTCCTATCACACTCACTAGACACTCTTGAACACGTCCTCAGTCGCTCATAAGACAATGGCCCGAAAGTTGCTGGCACCTGTTTCCTTCTTTGATTTTTGGTGCAGAGACCTGCATGATTAGACTGGACGACGGGGGAGGCGATACTATCACTGCATCGGGAGGATGAAAGTTCCGTTGTACTACCATGTTTTTTTTGATGGCGGAGGTCTCGGAGTACGAAGAATTGCATGTCACTTGGCCTGGCCACGAGAGGAATTAACTTGCTGTTGCAAAGCATAGTAAAAACAAGTAAACAATAGGGTATGTACACACACATTTGCATGGATACAACTATGGCTGTCGCTACAGCTATAGGAATAGACACAGAGGTGCATAGATATAGATGTAGATTTAGATATAGATATTAATATAGTTATAAATATAGATACAGATGCATACATACATATACCTATACATATAAATATAGATATACATATAGATATACATATACATATACATATACATATACATATACATATACATATTCATATACATATACATATACATATACATTCGTATATATATATATGTATATGTAGGTATATGTATGTATGAATGCGTGTATGTATGTATGTATGTACATAGCTATAGGTATAGATGTGCCGATGTGTGTATATATACATGTACACATGCATACATACATACATACATACATACATAAATTGACTGATCGAAGGATAGATAGATAGATAGGTAGGTAGGTAGTTCGATAGACAGACAGACAGACAGAGAGCTAGATAGGTAGATAGACAGGTAGATAGTTAGATAGATAGATGGATGGATACAAAGATAGGTAGGCCGATAGAATCCGATAGAGAGATAGATCGATAGACAGATGGATAGATAGCTAGATCGATAGATAGACCGATAGAGAGATAGATCGACAGAGATAGATATTTAGATAGATAGACAGAAAGGCAGGCAGACAGTCAGACAGGCAGGCAGGCAGGCAGAGAGAGAGATAGAGATAGATAGATAGATAGATAGTTCTTAATTTCTTGTTCGCACGGAGGACTTGCAAGGCCGAAGGTGGCAAAAAACGTCAGTTTGTGGAGGAGTCTATGGGTGAAGGGGGTTGCTACCTGCACAAGCCGAATTTAAATTGTCGTTCTGGCACCGTGCCGGTATGGTAGGGAGCCCCCACCCTAAACCCTAAACCCAATGTTTGTGCACCCTGTGATTGCTACTGCTGCGGGCTCCCTGCTTGAGGCGCTGGGCAACATCTGCGTGGGA